AAACCAAACAACAACACTCACATTTTGTCACCTTGGACTCTGTCAAAAAATAAATTGTTTTTTGTTTTTCCAAAAAAAAAAAAATCAATCAATTCACATCTGTCCTACCAAAAAAAAAAAAAAAAACCAATAGGATAAATAATTAATGTGTACATGTTGATCAAATAACAAACTTCTTTTTTAAAAATATTTTTATTAAACAAAAAAAAAATGTATAATCAAAACAAAAGAAAAAGAAGGCAAGAAAAAGATGCTGTAGAAGTAAAAGGGTAAGTGTTTTAAGAATAAGGATGGTGGTGGTGGTTATCACCCGCCACTTGTTGTTACTCTAGTTGTATATAATATCTTGATGATTTAATTAAAGTTTTGCTTTTTGGTATATCTCTTAGATATGAAGAACAAGAAGAAGAAGAACAAATAATAAAACCATTATCAACAACATCAAGAATAATGACTAAAAAAAAGCTTGGTATGTTATATATAGATTTTAGACCATTTATATCAATTAATTTGGATGTTTTATATAATTTTACATTAAATAGAATATATTGATGATGAATATGATGAATATGAAATTCTAAAATATATCTCCTCCACTACCAATACAATTTCTGCTGGTAATCTTGCTGCAGCACATGAAGTTATGTACAGAGAATCTTTGCCTCTGGTAAAAATAAAATTTAAAGTTTTTTTTTTTTTTTTTAATTTAGCCAACATGTAGTTAACTAGAAATTTTATTTTAGTTACCACAATTTCCACAACTTTCAAAAAAACATGAAGAATCCAACACTGAAAATTTGACAGATCAGGAATTTAATGCAAGGTCTATTTATATAATGAAAATTGCAATTAATCAATTCAATCTTTTTTTATGTTAAAAAAAATTTTTTGATTTGAAATAGACTTGCTGAAGCAAATATTTTTAACATCAGCAATAAAAACAATAACTTAGTAAATCAAAATAGCTTTAATGAATTAAAAAAAATTGCAAGTTCAAACAAGATACCCAAAGTAAATGTCGATAGCATAAAAAAATGGTTTCAAGAAAACATTTCAGTAAATGAACTAATCATTATTGATGCTTTTGTTTGATTTTATTGATTAATTCTTATTCATTTAATTTCTTTTTTTTTAAGCAAAATCTACACAAGACAATATCAAAATTTGAAAATATAGGAAGTTTTGAAGGTTTTAATATAGAAGAATCTAGGTTTATTATAGTGTTCCATGTCACAATCCAAAAAAGGAAACCAAAGTGGTCACAAAGGTGGTTGTAACCAGGTGTCACAAACCATTTTTATATGTCACAAATATGGTTGCAACCATCACCAAGAATTGTGACCAGCATCTATAGTTTATTAAGCAGGTCTTAATGATTAAATTGTTGCAACTCCGAAATGGTTATGGTGAACAATTAGATAGGGACATGGATGAAAGCACTTACACATCAACAATTATTTCACAAGATTTTGAACTTTTGAAATTATATTTTCCAAAAACTTTTACTTCAATGTGGTATGTCAAATGAAAAAATTAAAATATTATAATAAATATCATAAATATTTATATTGTTTGTATTAATCTAATATAATTGAATAGGAATGAAAATGATGTTCAATCTTCAAAATGGTGACATGAACTGACTTATGGTACCACTTCTTATGCAAGAAAGGCAGATGGTATTCTCTTGAACTATTGTGACAGATCAAATGAAGTCTTATTATTTGAAAATGTAGGACCACCATTTAAGAATGATAAAAACAAATATAATGGTGATCTTTATAAAATTTTCATAATTGTGTGGACTTATTCATCAGGAAATTTTTCTGATGCAGATTTATGTAATTATTACACTATTTACGTAAGTTTACAGCAGGCCCGTAATATTATGCAATTATTACATTGAGTGTAAATATTACATAATTTTTATGCAAATATTACAACTTTACATATTAAAATTTATGGATGTAATATTGCGGCAGGGAAAATTTCCTGATGTTATGTAAACTTTTCTGGTGAGGAAAAGGAGATGTAAAATTAGCAAGCAAATATTATACACTAGCTTATATTTGTTTATAGTAAGTTTATTGATTTTAATTATATTTTTAGTTAGAATTTGCTATGCTATATTCAAATTTTAATTAAAAAATATACTTTATTCAAAAATACATATTTATAGAACAAGATGGTGAATTATATAGGGTAAATTTGGCAGGAAAAAATATATTTGTAGCAGAAAAAATTTTTTGTGTAAATTATCCATTTGAATATTCTAATTTTTTGAATAACATTAAAATAATTAAGTTATTATTCATCATGAAGGTAAATTTAATTCTTTTATTGCTCGAGTAATTTTGTTTAAATTGTATGTGTGCAGAATATTTATCACATTTTTATTATTTTATAGTTGATACTTAAAGAAAATCAAAATGTATTACACCAATACAATCTTTCATGTAATGATACAGAATGAAATTTTACACCAGTGGAAAAATGGTTGTCATTAAATAAAAAAACACCATAGATACCTATTATTTTATGTAATTTATGATTTATTTGAATTCATATGTTTTACTGCAGTTATTTAATTAAATATAAAAAATTTATAATTTTTTATGCAAAGATTCGTTATATAGAAACAAGTTTATAGAATGCAATGTGAACTTTTAATTACAAATTATTTTATATACAAATCAATAAAAGAACTTTGCTTTCAAAAATTAAAATATAGTCCAGTCAGTATATTACACAAAGAAATGTTAATGTTAATATTAACACTAAATACTGCAACAATTCATCAGAAAAATGCATTAGAAATTATATGTGGATTGTATATACACTGTTTACACATGAAACATGTGGGATATACAGCACCAATCATTTATACTCAAAATAAAAATTGACATTACTAAACCTGGTAAAAGTAAAGAAAAAAACTTTTTAGAAAAATCAGTGGTTAGATTTCTTTTATTTTCAGTATTGACCAAATTATGCAGGTTCAAAGTAACACCAATTTGTATATAAAAATCCAAAAATGGGACTAAGTAAATTCATGTAATGTCGCGTTTTTAATTCATTTTATTTTAAAAAATTCTGGTATTATAATAATTAAACATGCCATTGACAAAAAGTCAAATTGCTCAAAGGAAAATTTTTAAAAATCGACCTAAAAATTTGTCTACAGGCCAATTTGAAAAAAAAAATAATGCATCAGATTCTTCTGACTCAGATTTTATTTTATTAGATGAAATTTATTCTTCAGATTCTAGTGTCAATATTAGTTACACTGATGCTTGTACCTAGAGACACCTGCTGTAATTATTTTTTGAATTACAGCATATAAATCCCTCATGTCACTTTCCTTTTTTGTATTACAGCAAGTGTCTACTTGTACCAAAAGCACTAAATTCAGTATCTTTGACAACAATTCATCATTATGCACAAAAAAGTTGGAGATACATGAATATTTATAGGAAAGGGATTTCAGGAAAGTTGGCAGAATTTGCAGTGAAAAAGTATAGTTCACACAGGAGGTTTCTGATTCTGTGTATATGAAATTAAAATTTGGGTTTTATATTTTTCATGTAATTTATACTTTTTTTTTGCATTTTTAATTACTTTTGTTAAAAGAAAGAATAAATAAAACATATGAATTTATGAAATATCTAAATTAGGAAAGATAAAAATGGGACTAATTTTTTTTTACATCTTGAATTAATTCTTTTTTTAAAGCTGAATTGAATGGTGGTAATTTTTTTAAAATATGATGTATAGATCGCATAATATTTAAATTTCATGATCTTTGAGTATAGACAATTGGCACTGTAAGGGAACATGATGATACTGTGAACATATTTTTGGATGCCTTCCTTTTGTAGTCTTTATTTTATTAGTATTATTATTAATTATGATTTCCATGTCACATGATCACATAATTACACAAAAGAATCCTACATGAATTATAATTAGTTTAAAAGGAACCGAATTTAATTAATAACTAAGACTGGTAGCTAGGACTGTAACTTACCAAAGATAGGACAGAGACCAGCACAAACACTTTAAATATTACTATATTTCTTAATACTATTTTTATTATTATCTTATGTAATCTATATATTATCATTTCTATATTTGTCTATATAATTTAGCTGATCCGAATGGATCATGTTGTATAATTTATCTTTATTTAGAAAATGTGTGGTGAAATATTTAACTGAATTATTAATTTGAATTTAATTAGGAATATCGAAGTAATTCAAAATTCTTTAGAATTTTTAGAAGAGATCTTTAGTAAAAATAACTTAACTTAGATAAATAAGACATACAAATCATGTTATATTAGTGGAACAAGAAGAAGTATAAATACACTCTTCTCTGGACCATCTAAGAGAATAATTAGGTCAGACTAATTAGAATTAATTAACTAAATAAATAAATAAACAATAATATTTTACCCAAATCCTCTTAATTTTATTACCTATTGAAAGCCATTGTGAAATTCAACCGCACTCTCCTAAATAAATACGCTTTTATTTTAATATTGTTCTTATTTATATTTTCCCCTTAGGGATGCCTTTGGTGGAATTATCTTTAATTATATACGGATTCATTTTTATTGGATAGGCTATTTTAGCAGTAAATCCCGTGGGTAGGCTTTTTAGCAGTAAATCCTTAGACACTCAAGTATTGAAATCCTCTTCCCTGAAAACTGAGAATGGGTAGATCTTGGGCTGGTTTGCATAGTGAAACTGTAAGAATTGTCCTGTAAAGAATAGAATATTTTAGAATTAAATTGTTAACCAACATACCAGTTAAATTTATATATAGAGATATTTGTTATAGAGAAAGTCATAAGGACCACACTCGTGGAACTATTAACTACTAACCATTGTCATTATTATAGCGTTCATTTTATTTTACTTTATAGTCTATATTTTTAGGTGTAAATATTAGTTTGAGAATATAAACATAATAGCGTATTAATAAAGAAAGGAGATTTAATACATTACAATACAAAAAGTTAAACAAAAAGTGAATGGATGAAGGCAAATTAAGAATGGCAGTGGATCCTAATGAAACTAGAGAATGAGCTAAGAATTGTAAAAGAATTTGATTTGACAATATTACTATTGAAGAAATGTTATTGATAGTTCAAATGAATTATACTCAACTTGTTCACAGTGAAGTGAAAGAGGCTATAAACTTACTGAACAAAAGAAAGAATATGAAAAGAAGTTAAATGAAAAAGAAGAACAGATTAAAAATTTAGGAGTAGAAATAAATGAACTAGATGAAGTATGGATAGAGCAAGAGGAACCTGAAAAGGCACTGGATGCAGCTATGAAATAAAGAAAGTGTCAAATGCTTGAAACTGTGTTGAAGCATGATGCTGCAATGGGTAAACTTCAAGACTGAATAGATTTATTAGAAAATGATTTAGCTGCTAAAAATCAGGAAATAAAGAAAATAAATTGCAAAAGTTCAAACAATTAATAAGTAAAAGAAAAGAAAAGACTAAAGAGAAGTTCCAGATTTTTATTGTTCAAAAGAACAAGTAAGCCAATATGAAATTAGAATATAGAATTCTGGAAATAGCCCAGGGAGATGAACAAGAGTGCAACTTCTGTTTTCTAGATTTTGATGACCCAACTCTCCTTAATTTTGATACTGTTCCTGCTACTCATCAAATGGTGCCTCGTAATATTCCTGATGGTTATTCTGACATTGTCTTTATCTGTGGTGAATGTAAAAACAATTATGATAATAATACTCTTCCATGATGTGAGAAATGTGGTAGGTTAAAAAGGGATAGAAACAGATGTTTTTGTAAATCAACTAAAAAACTTTCTGACAAAGAACTACTTTCACAAGCTTTCAATTTTCACCTAGAAAATAAAACTAGAGAACTAGAAAAAGAGTTATCAATTACCAAAGAAGAATTAAAAATTGAAAGAGAAAAAGTAACCAAATTTCAAGAAAAATCTGAAGAGTGAAGTAAAAAACAGAAACAGGAGCTATTGGATAAGATAGAGAATTTAGAAAAAAAAATTAATCATCTAGAAGAGGAAAACAGGAAATTAAAAGATCAACAAAATGGTCAATTAACTCAAATTGAAGTTAAAAAATGACCTTGATCAAAAATAAGAAAGTAATTTAAGGATTGAGGAAATATTTTCCTCTGTATAATTGAAATTCATTCCAACCATTAAAGAAAATGGCTGTTATTTTCCTTTTAAAGATTTTTGCTTTTTGTTAGGTAATAATACACCTTCATTCTGCTTTCTTTTCTTAATGTTTATGATTTTCCTTTCTTCATGGTGAATTTCATAAGTAATCCTTTCTTTTCTTAGATAAGTTTCTAGTGTTTGAGTATCATTTATTTTGAAAATGTAAGGAGCAATTTTTTCACCTTGTTCCTTTTTTAGAATACTTCTGATAGTACTATAATTCTTGGGTTCCATAGTAGATCTGATGTAAATTAACTTCATATTAACTATTTTTATATAGGAGTAATTCTATATATCACTTAATATTAAACAAATGGGAAATTTTAATAATCACATTACAAATTTTGATCCCTGAAATCCTTGGTAATACAAATGTTCACTTTGTCTGGTTTTGTTGCAGCATGCCCCATATAACATTGTACTCGAATAATTAATTAATTATATAGCATATCTAATAAATGAAAATATCAATCTTCCAATCGCCATATTTTACATCTACCTGTAAAGTCTTGGAATTGTATATAATCAAATAGAGTAGAAAATTACTATATAAAAAAAGTATATCTCTAATAACTTCATGAATATTCATTGCTTTACGCCCACCTTTAAATTTTCTCATTGATCTCTTGTTTAGTAAGAAATTGTTACATTAAATATTTTGCTTCTGATAAAACTTTATGGGCACTAACGATTGCCTGATTTGCAAAAGTTTAAAACAATAATCTACACACTTAATTGGTGATTCAGAGAAAGATCTGCATTTTTAATAGTAATACTAATATATAGTATTATTACTTTTATGGAAGCACAAATTTGAGGGGACTCTTGATTCATTCACGGATTTGGCAATTAATATATAGTAAAGTTTAATTAATTAATGGAAAATTGGTTATTTTAAAATTATTATATAGTTACACGGCACATCGGTGCATTATTTTAAAAGTCCACGTGGTAAACTCAAAAAATAGGAACACATGGGAATTTAAGCCAGACAAAAAAATACCAACAACTAATTCAAGGCAGAAAAATTAAATGTAGAGACCTAAAGACAGCTTGCACTTTGGGACCTCGTATTTTAAATTAAAAATCACAAAGTTTATTTATTTATTGACAAAATGAAAAATGTAAAATTAAAAATCAAAAAATTAAAAAATTAAAATTAAAAATTAGTTTAATAGAAAATTAAAAAGTGTTAATATTCAATATTGTTAGGTAGATAGATATCTTCTTCTTTCATAGCTTCACGTAATTTTTCGTATGTACGTGAAATATATTGTTGTCTTAATTGTTTTCGATTGATAAAAATACCATTCCAATCCCCATCTCTGAATAAAAGATCTTTTTTCAATGAATACTTGTTACCGGGTTCTGTCACTAACGGAATTGTTCGCTCTTTAATAAACAAAAATGAAATAAACCGAATATATTTAATGCTGTATAAGAAATGGTGTATGCCTCGTTCAATAATGTAAGAAGGGGTGTTCCATGAATGGGTATATTCAGGTGCATAAACAGTTCGATAATATTCAAGTTCATGACGCATTTTTAATCCTCCAACTTCAAAAATGTTCTCTATCATCCATAAGAGTGAAGCGGTTGGAATTTTCTGATCACCACTAAGTCCAAAGGAAGTTCCGCCACCGACCTCGATGTGAACACCTGGGAACCATGTTTGTTTACAAATAGTTCTACCATTATCTTTTATTGGGCATGGTTCGAAGAATGGGAAACAGTCATGAGTTGCGGAAGCCTGGAATGCATATTTTACTATATAAGACACGTGTTGATCAAACAACTCGTAATAATCTATTCCTTTTGTCATAACATATCTTGGAATGCCATATGCCCCAACAGTATCATACAGACCAAGAAACTTTATGGGTGTTTCGTCGGCTTCAAGTTGGTAGCTGAATTTATCTTTGAATTCGATTGAATTTCGTCCGTTTGGATGTTTACGATAATTTTGATAAGCAATGTCAATAAGTTTCTCGTCGTTTTCTTTTAGAATTCCACAGGTGTTCATCATTCCAGCCACACATCTTGCAGTGTACGCACCACGACTGAATCCAAAAAGCCAAATATCATCACCACGTTGATAATTTGAGACAATGAATCTGTATGCTTTTTTAATTTTCTCATCAAGATCAACTGCAAGAGCTCCATTTATCAGAAATTCTATTGGTCTATCTCCAATTCCCAATCCTACATCATACTCGACCTTCTGATCATCAGTTGTAATAATTTCGTTAGACAGTTTGAAAATATTTGTAAGCGAACTTTGCCCGTTCCAAGTTCCGTCACATAAAACGACGATATTTTTATTTTTACTTTCAGTCATCTTTAATTTGTTTTTTTTTTATAATTTGTGAAAGGTTTTTTTTTTATGATTAAATAAATATATAATTTATTTTGTAAATTATTTATTTACTCTTGATTCGAAGAAGAAAAAATTTTTATTGATTGTGAAGAAATTTTTGGTTTTTTTTTTATTTATTTGGGTTTTTTTTTTCAAGATATTATTTTTTTTTTGTTGAATCTTCGTTGAATTTCTTCCTCATTATTTATACAAAATTTTAATCCATAACTTACTATCTGTTTTCTATTTTTACTTTTTAGTAACTATAATGATATTTTTCCATTTGCTACGGCAAAATGCAATAATAATCCTTTTGTATCGAACTACGTTAATAATTGTTTGTTATATTTTAATGGTAAAAACAAATAAAAATAGAAAACAATAAATTTCCATTATTATAATGAATAAAGATTTTGGCGTGTGGCTGTGCGTCGCAAATCATTTATTGTAAATGATCACGATCAAAGTGGCATAGATTTTTTGTGATCAAGTGCATGAAATTTCGTGTGCGCCATATTAATATTAATATTAAAAACTAGAAACTTCCCTCCACATAATAATTATTAATTAAATAATAAATAAGTAATAATTAATTAATTAATTAAATAATAAGTTATCACTATTATTATTATATTAAAAATTATTCCGGGCGTAACAAGGATCGAAGAATTTTTATTATTCCACGATGCCAATCTCCATCATTTAAAAATTTAAATATCATTTAAAAATTTAATATCATTTAATTAACAAATTTTTTTCATCGAAAATTTAATTAATTTTTTGTTTAGTATATTTAAAAATGTCAAATTAATTAAATTTTCTAGTGAAGCTTCCAATATTCCAGCTAGTGGAAATTTTTGAAATATCTTCAGATGAATTAATTGATAGTGATAAAACTGAGAGTTCTGGCGATGAACAAAGACTACATAATAGAAAACTATTGATCCTGGATGGTTTAAATCATATTCATAGTTAACAGTTGGAATTGTTAATGAAGAAACAATCTAATATGTAGAAATCAAAATGGGGAAACAAGATTTGCAAGAGGTACGTACATCTAGTTTAAGATTATTGAGAACTAAAGAATGCAAAAAATCTGAAGAATTACGCGAAGCAGAACAATTTCAATCAATTCAATCAATTCAATCGAGCACAAGTAAATTCCATCAACGAGAAAGATCCATTCTTGTTCAATGGATTTATATCCATATTGGAGTAATAGTAAATATCTAGCAATTGTAGGTAGATAATATGCCATATATGAGATATTTAGGAATGATTGATCACTGCAGAAAATATTCTCAATCAAGATTATTTTGTGACTAATGAAATATCCTAAAAAATAATTCATTTTGGAAGCAATGGTGCATCTAATATGATTAGTTATAGAAGTGGTATTTCTGAAAGGCTTAAAATTCCATGGAAAAAATCATGGAAAGAAAGATGAACTTTGCCATCATTGCAAATTCATGGGAGTATTTCTGGAATTAAAATTCAAATAACAGACTGTTTTTCTTTATAGGGATGCTTTTAGATGAGGTTTTATATTTTGAAAGATATAAAGGAACTTTGATCCAGGGTATTAATAATTAGTAATATTAAATTCGTGTAATATCAGACAGTTGTCTTTTCTAATTCTGTGGGGAATTTATATAGAATAGCGGATTCAGTGCTTTCAGTCCTTGATGAAGAAGGTGATAAACAAGCTGAATTATTATACAACCAGATAGATGAAGATTTCATTTTAGCAACAATGTACTTTGCTGATTTAAAAGATATTCTAAAAAAATTTAATCATTATTTCAATTCAAAACAGAACTTAATATTGCAATTGGTAAAATAGAGTGTGAATTGTTGAGGATTTTCCACTAAAAATGGTTTAATTTTTAGGAATTATTTAAATCGAAATCAACATGATTTCCGCTATTTGTAAAAGAATATTATTAATGCACTGGAAAAAAAATTTTTTTTTGAATGTGCACAAAAAAAATTCTTGCCAAATTTCGAACATTGTTTGTGATACTAATACTAATGGTCCAGACTGGGAATTCAATACATACAGGTTTATATATATTAATTCAATATTTATTGTACTTTAATATTATCAATATCATGTTTGATATTATCACGTCCAATTACAAATTGATTAATAAATCTTTTAAATCTAATTGTTTGACGACATGGAATTACAGCGATCCATTCAGCAATATACTTAAATTTAGTATTAGGATGTTGTCTACTAATATTTAATCGAATAATTGATATTGAAGTGTTTATTGTTTATATGACGCCAAAATATGGTTGCACACTACTGGAGTTTCATAACCATTTAATGTTTGGATATGGATTTATGTTTATGGGAATTTCAATATTATAATAGGACCCATTATTTAAGATCTTGTGGCTCGAATTTTATTTCATGTGAAAAGATATTGTTCAAAGAACCAATTAAAAGAACAGTTATTAAGTTGCACGCTACTGGAGTTTCATAACCATTTAATGTTTGGATATGGATTTATGTTTATGGGAATTTCAATATATAATAGGACCCATTATTTAAGGTCTTGTGGCTCGAATTTTATTTCATATGAAAAGATATTGTTCAAAGAACCAATTAAAAGAACAGTTATTAATAAGCCTCATCCCTTTTAACTTATTATAGTAAAATTTCATCTACAGTCTGGTTAGTCCTTTGATCTTTATAAATTATGATTATCTTTAAAATCTATTACCATTACTATTAATAATTTTTTTGATGCGGGAAATTACTGTTGGGGCGAGTGTAGTAACACCAAAACTTTATATCTATCTATACTTAAAGCCGGATCAATGCTGTTTTATTAAACAATCAAATTAAAAAGGTATTATAACCATATGATTATTTTTGAAAAAAGAAACGTATCTTTAAGGTTTGTATTCACGGATACCACAAGAGGGGTCACACAGGGTCGCACACTATTAAAATCAAGTGATCAACATATATTTTTAAGGGATTTTTGCTTTTTTAATAGTAACCCCTTTAATATTAACGGTATCCGTGAATATATACAAACCCCATTACTATGTATCTTCAAGAGTATTTCAGATGATTTAAAGTTTGTGTATATATATCTTTTGTGTGAATTGTGATTACGACACGTTTATAATAATCTTCCAGCTATATTTATTTAATTAACATACCAAAAGATATTTTGAAGCATATGCTTCAGTGAATTATTATATAGAAGATTTGAAACCATATATTTTGTAGAAACGATGAACGGATACAACGAAATTTAGTATATATCAATATATGTTCATAAAATATATTATACTTCAAATTATTGTAATAAATCGATTTCTCATAGTCCAGAATTATGGATATTGAAGAGTCCATGTTAATGCCTATTATAAAAAATCTAATTTGGAAGTTAATATTTGGGTCCGTTCAATTAAATGGGGAATTGGTCAAAATCAAGTGCTGAATAATAAAGATTATTTTGAATGGAAAATGATTTGCTCAATTGAAAGATATACTACAAAATGTTATCTCATTAACTAAATATCACCAACTGATTTTAAATATAAAGTCAACCTTACAAGGATGTCATCAATGAGCAATTGCAATTTTATAATCAAATTCCTTAGTGTCGGTTGGCAATGTCCATTAAGGAAATCAGAAAAGTACAAGGAAAAGAAAATTGTTAATATAGAAAGCCATGAACTTATTTCAAATTGGATCGATAAGTAACAAGGTATTACCATGTGTATTCTATTGGTACTCAGGATGAAATGTCACAATCTGTTTTTCGCAAATTGCGCGGAAACATTGAAAAAACAGTTGTGATAATGAAAATCAAAGCTACTGGCAAATTGGTTGGTGGGTATAATCTGGTATGTTGGAATAACAATGAGAAGTCGTCTAATAAATATCATAATATTGAAACAAGAGAGAGTTTTATTTTCAAATTTAACAAGGACCCGACTGATAAACTAGGTACGCAACAAATCATTGGGTAAGATGGAACTGTTTTAATATATATGACGAATCTTACGAAACACAAATTACAGATAATTGTAAAGTTTACAAGTAGTCAGGAAATTTTATCAAGTTAACAATCAGTTAACAGTCAAAAGGAACAGTATAAACATATTAATCCTCATTATTTGTACCATAATTAATGTGAATAGATATTTTAAATATATTGTCATTATCAAGATCATTAGATGTGTGGAACGTCAAATTTTTTTTATTACAAGTAACGAATGAAAGAATTTAACTTATATAGAGTAAAATTAATAAATATTTTTTATGTAAATTTGTATATCGAATAAACATCAGAATCTAAATTTTTCTTGCCATTTAATTCAACCAATTCTATAATAAATATATATTCTAAAACTTTTGCATTAAATTTTTTAACTAATTGTCCAGCTGCATTTGCAGTTCCACCTTTTTTATATTTGGAGGAAAGAAAAAAAGTTGTTATGATTTCATTCATTAATTAATATATTTATTGGTTTTATTTAATGTAAATAATGATTGATAAAATCGTTACTAACCAGTCGCAAGAAGATCATCTAATACAATAACATTTTTATCTTTTTCAATAGAATCAGATTGCATTTCAAATGTATCCTACAAAAATAAAGAAAAAATTAATTTCAAATAAAATAAAAGTAAAAAGTTAATAATAAACTTACAATATCCTTCTCTCTCATAATTACACGATACATACCACGCCGTATTCCTTTACAAACTCTGCAGTAATTATGTTCCCAGGTAATTTACCTTTCTTTCTACAAGGCACAAATGGAACATTCAATTTATATGCTATTAAAGGTCCAAACAAAAATCCTCTCGCATCAAGTCCAACAATTACATCAACTTTTTCAGATAAATCATTCTTAATATGATTTACGATATGATCTATTAAAATCCCGAATGCTTTTGGATCTTTGAATATTGGAAATATATCTTGAAACAAAATTCCCTACATATAATAATAACATATGTGAGAGTGAGTAAATACTATTATATAGGATTATATAATAGTTGATTAGTAAATACCTTTTCAGGAAAATCTGGTACGGCTTTTATCAACTTTCTAACTCTTTCAAGGTCATCATTACTCATATTTATCAATTATAAGATTTTTTTTTTTGAAAAAATTTTTTTTATTTTACCATTTTTCAAATTATTACACAAATAAAATTTAGAGTAGGACAATATTTTTATTATATACTTGACCTTAAGCAAACACGTTTTCAACATTACATGTGATGGGGTTGATTTTTGAGTCTTATAGACGGTTAGTGCAAATGCGTTTTGGAAAGGGAATTGTTTTTTTGGTGCTCTCTATACCATTAATTTTTTTGAACAATAATTTATCTTAGATCACTTCAACGTCTTCTTCATCGAAGATTCTTTATCCTAACTTTTGCCACCACTAAAACAAAACAGACTAGTTCATGAATTAAAAAGCACTTGAAGATTTTTAAATAAACAATAAATTATATTATTAATTAATCGAATTGATTATTGTTTAACTAACTAAAAATGCTAAAAAAAATTTTTTGCCTTTTAAGTAAAGCATTACTATTATGTGTTTAACTAATTAATTGACAATTGAATTGATTATTTGTTTATTGCTAAACTAAAAAATGCCAAAAGCAAGATGCCATACATTTAATTGATTAACAGTTGAGTTGATTATTCGTTTACTTTTTAAGAAAAGCATTATCCATTAAAAATGCTAAAAAACAATGTCCTTTGCATCTAATTAATTGACAATTGAATCGGTTATTTCGTATACTTTTTAATTGAGAAAAAGCATTATTGTTTAATAGATTGATTGACAATTGAATTGATTATTTGTTTATTACTAAAAATAAACAACATTTTAAAAGATTTAGTCGGTTTCTTATCAACAACAATAATAATAAGGAAATTATTTGCGAATTGTACACCTTCAAAAAAGTCTTGAGGGGGTTTTTTTAGCAACGAACGACCAATTCCTGTTTTTTAATTGTGGCGACAGAACATCTTCTTTGCAATTTTTCCAAAGGACTTAGCGATATATGTAAAAAGAAAAACTATTATTATATTGATAATAATAAAATGAATGATTTTGCCATATAAAGTTAGAATAATCTTTCACTTGCAGCCACATTTTTTCTAAAAAAAGAAAAAAATAAACTTTTGCCATTTTCTTAAAAAATAAAATAATCTCTTTACACCTTGATAATAATAATAAAAAATGTCTATATAAAATACTTGCTGCCGTTGTGTTCGTCAAATCTGTCAGCGGGATCGGTGCCCTTAGTGGGATGGTAACAGCTAGATTAGACAACGAACGATGAGTACTTGGATTTCCAATACAAGGCATTTAAATCAGACGAAGGAAGTCTTCTCGAACCCATCCAAGCGAACACATTCATGCTGTTTCCCGGGAAATATGTTTCAAGTCCCAGTTATATGTGAGTGTAGCGAGTGTCATTTGTTTATTATTTTCTCTTTTGCTCTTTTGTTTATTAAAAAAATAATGTCGCCTTTGCCTTTCGCTCAGGTTACGCTAATCAAGACAACATTCCTCGATTTGAAGACACTGGGTGATATGCCAAGTATAGAAGATTTGCCAATCAGCCCTTTGTTCGGTACGGTAATCGGTCTGTGTTCTGCGCCTCCAAGAAGCCAATTCCTTAATTTTGTTGTATGTGAAATTGAAATATATTTAGCACTTGATGATCTTCAAAAATCATGTGACTGTAAATTTTTATTGCATTTTTGATTGGACCAAGTGACTTTCACTATACGTACAAAGTAATCTATTAATAGCCTAGCGCGTATGTACAAAGAAGTCAAGATTTTTATTACTAGATTAAGGTTTTAACTTTTATGCGGGTTTTTGCTTTCATATGCTTAATCAACGATTTTATTGTTTTCTCCAAAAAGGAAATCAGATCATCCACCATCCTTCAAATGGCCAAAATCAAAGTTTTTTCTTTATCCAGATCACCCACTATCTCTCTCAAATAGTCAAAATCCAAAAAAAAAATTTTAATTCAACACGAATAATCAAAAAAAATTTGCACATATTGTTTGTTTATCGATCATTTTTTTATTAAATTGACAAAAACGAAATAAACCGTTTTTGAAACCCGGTCTCGTGATCAGAAAATATCACTAACACGTTATGTGGCAAGCCTTTGACGATCCGAGGTAAAGGTTTCAAGACAAGACCATATAAGTTTTTGGTCATTTTGAACGGTCCGAAACGTCGGAGCAAGACGAAGACCTAACAGTAGACAGCGGTTGACACCACGCAAAAAACATATAAAGCGAAACACGATTTCCTTTCAGTCAAATATCTTTTTCGCTCAACCCTGGCGTTTTGAACCAAAACAGACAAGTTTTTCAATTTCACAAATCATGACAAGCAGATAACAATTGGGATTCACACAGTACGATGACGTAAAATAACCACAACCATTTATCATTTTTTTGGAAAAGAAAATATTTCTATTCAAATTTCAATTTTATTAATTAACAAATTTCAAGCCAGCGCAGCAAAGAAAAAAAACGACTCATCACAAAGTTTTGCCCTTTGATTTTGATCTCATCCTTCTCCAAACATTCAGTTTACCAAAGTTGAGAAACAAGACGTATAGATTCGTTTCGTTTCGTGGTGATTCGTACCGTAACTGAACTGAATGAATGAAACGAATCCTCTTTACAACGAATTATTTCTCGTAGAACCAAACATTTCAAAATTGGGTAAAGTCAGAAATTACGGCAATTAGTAAGGCACCGTAACACGGCAATCTTTTCTTCTTTTATATGTTTAAATAAATAAATAATTAAAAAACGTCTTTAAACAAAAACGTAACAGTGAGTTTCGTGAAATACGAATTAGCATTATAGCGCAATGACATTCTGGCATCATAATATTATAAAATCACACGACTCAATAACATGCATATATATTCGTTCGGAGCATCAAAATTAACACCGAATACGAAGCATCCCATTCGAATTTGAGGGTCGAGGCACGTAGTGCCGAAATGGCGTTCTATGTATGAGTTGGCTTTACACATTACATTCAAATGCAAGGTATCTATATAATTGTTTGGAGCATCAACATTAGCCGGTCATATTATTATATCAATATTTTTATTTATTTGTTGCGTTGAGCAAAAAAATTAATTATTTAAAAAAATTACATATACAAAGGGAAATTGTTCACAAATTTAATAAATTTAATAAAAGCTTAATCTTGTTTGAGAAATAGATAGCTGAAAAGGTGGAAAATTTCGCTTTTCTCGATAGATGTATATATATCAATGAAAACAAATGAAAAGTGGTTGAATATAAATAATTTGTGTATAGTGTATAATGAAAAAATGATGATAAAAAATAATACTTGACAGATGTGTCTTTTTATCCACGCCAACACACCCTTCCACCCATCGCCATCTAATAAAAAATAAAAAATAAAAAATAAAATGATAAAAAACCAGTAATAAAAGAGCCACTGCCAAGGATTGGTTTTCGTGCAAGATTGATTGATGATAATTTATTTACACATTTATACAAAAAGATTAAAAAATGCGTTTTACTAATTAGTGCTTCACTGGAATCTGAATTAACAGTGATTAAAAAATTCGAATTTTTTTGCTCTTGTGGTAATCTATAAATAATGCAATACAAAGAAAACGGATGAAATCAAAAAAGCTAGTGTTACTAAAATTCAAAGATGTTTATGCATAAAAATTGCTTTGGATACAACCTATAATAGTTGTACCAGAATTTTTTTTTTGATAATAGAAAATTGTGCAACTTTCAAACCACCAAACTAAATTGGCTTTTTTAAATTTATTCTTCCACACGACGTACAGACTGTATATATGTCCCATTGGCCGACTTGATGAACATAAGATAGATGACATTTGTTTTATATATTAAATAGATAAAAAGCGAAGGGTGAATTGGATCTTATTTATTTATTTTTTTCAAATAATCAAACCAAAGAAATACTAGACAAAAAGCAAGCGAGTAAAAATATCTGCGAGGTGAATTAAAGGTTAATTTGATCTACTAGATGTTTTAAATCATCAACTGAGGTTTTTTTTTCTAATAAAGAAAAAAAAATACTTTGCAAAGAAAAACTCTCGTGTGAATCAAAAGTTATTTTACGAATTTCGATTGTTAACTAAGTTGTTTTTCCTAATTAAAAACAAAAAGATTTGTTGTCATGATTTTCTTTTCCTCATGTTTATTTCTTTCTTTCGGATTAAAGGTCAATTGGACCAATTCTATCGCTATAGAAAAATAAGCTTCATGCAAGCATTAAACAAATTTTGATTGCTAAAAAAAATCAGTTAAGCTTTTTTTTCTTAATTAAAAAAAAGATTAATCAATGGATTTTATTGTTTTCTCTGAAAGAAAATTAAAAATAAATCCTTCCTATCCGGATCGTCCGCTATCTTTCAATGACCAAAATCAAAAAAATTTGATCATTAAAAATAAAACGTAAAAAAGTGTTCTTTGAATCCCGGTCTCGTGACCAGGAAATACTAACACGTTGTGTGACAAGACTTTTGACGATCTGAGGTAAAGGCTCCGTTAGTTTTTAGTCACTTTGAATGGTCCGAAATATCGGTGTAAGACGAAAAATTAATGGTAGAAAATAGTAGACACGGTGCAAAAAACATCTAATGCGAAACACGATTTCCTTTTGGTCAAGTATCTGCCTCGCTCAACTAAAGATGGCTCCTCAATTAATTGCGACTAGTTGCAACTAATTGCGGCATATGAAAATTGAATCGCGGTTAATTGCGGTTCCCATCTTTACGCTCAACCCTGGCGTTTTGAACAAAAATAAATAATTTTTTGGTTGCACAAAAAATGACAAATTAAAATAGACAGCAATGGGAATCCACATGATACTGCGATGTAAAAAATAACCATAACATTTATCATTTTTGAAGAATGAAAATATTTCTGTTTAAATTTTAATTTTAACTCATTTCAAGCCAGCGCAACAAAAAAAATCGACTCGTTACAAAGTTTTTCCTTTTGATTTTGATCTCATCCTTCCCCGACAATTCAGTTTACTAAAGTTGAACAACAAAGCGTTTAGAAGATTCATGATTCGTCACCGTAACTGCACTGAATTTACCGTTTCAAGTCTTTAATCTTTACAACGAAATATTTCCCGTGCAACCAAACATTTCAAAATTGGGAAAAAAAGAAAGAGGGAAAATTACACAAATATAAAGATTACAACATTTAGAAAGGAACCGTAACACGGCAACCTTTCGTTATTCTCCACTCACTCTATTCAATAAGACACCAAGTCAAATTTTATACTTTATATTTTTATATAATGTCATATATTGAATTATTACTACCAGAAAGAATAGAATTTGTAACTAAAGCTTATTTTGAAATATATAATAATGGTATGGTTAATTCTGATGAAGAAAGCTTGAAAGATTATTTTTTTTCATTGGTCCAAATAAATAAGAAGCTCTCTGGAAATGAAAAAAAATATTGTAAGGAAAGGTTTATTTATAAACTTGAATTTAAAAAGGCAAGTAATAAAAATGGAGAACCAAAAGAATGTAATAAATGTAAATCAACAAGATACACTGATAGGTTCTGTGAAGGTTGTATTGGTTTACAATTACAGAGTCTTTTCACCACTTGGACATCTGGAAATAACATAATTGACAACTTTATTCAACAATGTCAAATGAAATCATCTCTGCCAAACTATATTTTAGAGTGGATACCTTTTGAGCAATTTGAAGATGTAACAAAGTTGACAAAAGGTGGATTTAGTTCAATTTATATTGCTACATGGACAAGAGGAAGAATAAATGATTATGATGAAAATAAAAAGGAATTTAGTTATTTAGGAAGGATGAAAGTAGTATTAAAAAGTTTAAATAATTCAAATAATCCAGGAAAAGCCTTTTTTGATGAGGTTAGTAGCTTTATTTAAATCAAAAATAAACAATATTGTATTATATAATAAATAATAATTGATTTTATATTTATTTTCAGGCAATGAATTATTGTAAAATTAAATCACCATCAATTGTTCCTTGCTATGGTATGACTAGATTCCCAGATAATGGGAATTATGCAATTGTTTTAAATCTTTTATCAGAAGGAAATTTGAGGGATTATTTACGAAAAAATCATTTAAATTTAACATTAAAAGACAAAATTGTAATCTTCGAATGCTTATGTAGGGGATTATATCAAATACATGAAAAAGATTTAATCCATTGTGATTTACATAGTGGTAATATATTATTGCAAGGAGGTAGTTGTTATATTACAGATTTGGGGTTATGTGGACCAATTGATGAAAAGTCATCAAATAAAATCTATGGAATTGTATCATATCTTGCACCCGAGCTACTTAGAGGCAAAACTAATGCAAAGAACACAAAAGAAACATATATTTATAGTGCTGGAATGTTAATGTGGGAAATATTTGCAGGCCATCCACCATTTGATGATAGACCTCATAATCATTGTTTAATTTTTGATATATGTGAAGGCTTACGACCACCAATAATACATGGAATTCCTGGTGATTATGCGCAAATGATGCAGAGGTGTTGGGATGTAGATCCATCAAAAAGACCAACCATTAGAGAGCTTCGTGATTTTGCTAGAAACAAACGTAATGAATTTTTTAAAAATAAAAATAATGAAATTCCTGAAAATAAAAGTTTAACAAATAAGAGCTTAAAAAATAATAGTTTAATAAAAAGATTATTCAAATTTTCTAAAATTAAAAATCATGAAATTGATTTTGATGATGATGGTAGCAGTAACAGCAGTGGTGATGGCAGTGATTCACAACAAATACACGAATCACATCCAGATGCATATCATGCAAGTAGATTTTTAGATGAAGAAATTGCTAAATCTAAAAGCTTAAAAAGTTATGATAGTTCATTAAATAGTTTTGATTTTTCTATTCCCTTTGATATTGATTTTAACAAAGGTGAATAAAATTTATTAATTAATTGGAAATTACTATCCATTAATTATTACTAACAATATTTTTAATTAATTAATAACATTAGATTCTAGGATTGATGAATGATTAATTTAATAAATTATTTTTCATTATACTTTTTATTTTATCTTTATTTTATTTCCTAAGGCCAAATAAATTATTTTGAAATAAACCTTTTTACAGTTTTTTTTAAATGGTGATATTGCTTGCAATGTAGCATTTCATTTAATAACGATTATTTAACGATTATGGCTTAACTTTTGGGCTACTCTTGTTAGTTAATTACAAGTAACTCAAAATAAGGTGCTTGTCAATTAATTAGTTTACGAATTTACTTTTGTTTTCTTTTTTACATCTAGATGAATCTGTCTGTAAACATGCTTAATGGTACTAGATAACTATAAATAAATAAAGATGGTTCTTTTACAAAACTCGAGGGCTTCTATCAAGTTCCTTTTATTGATTTATTTCAGTCGTTTGCCCTTGTTTATATTTATTAGCCGATTTCAAATTCACTTTGGTAGCTTTTTAATAGCCTTACGTTTACGATTGCACTACCAGCATTTCCGATTAACCTTTGGACGATACTTCATTAACACCCACTAGTTAACCAACGATAGTCCTAAAACCTTCGGTCGCGTTTACTTCGTCGAAAATTATTTCGTCGACAATCATTTCGTCGACATCCATTTCGTCGAAAGTTTGTTTCATCGAATGTTCATTTCGTTTCGTCGAAAGTTCATTTCTTCGAAAATTATTTCATCTCGAGCCAGAGACCGAACGAGTTATATGTGGGGAGTGTGGGAAGTTAGTTAAGAAATTAGTTGAGGAAAGCGGAGTGTGTGGGAAGTGTGAGAAGAAATTTGTTTAATGAAGTTTTTTTTTTGTGACGAAATAATTTTCGACGAAATGAACTTTCGATGAAACAAACTTTCGACGAAATGGGTGTCAACGAAATGACTGTCGACGAAATGAATCAGACCCCTAACATTTGATTATTCACTAAAGCAAATTACGTTACTAATATTTGTTAACACTCGCTAGTTAACCAACGTTAGTCCTAACCTTGCCTGCTTGCTCACTAAAGCAAATAAGAGTGACTTTTTACCAAAGCTACACAATTGTTACCTATTACCAAAGCACCAACTACATTTGTTGCCTTTATCAAAGCGCTTTAAACAAAGAAAATAAAGACAATGTTTTTGTTTTATTTTTATTTTTTAAAAGTTTATTAGCGATTAATTTATTTAATAGCAATAATGATTCTATCACAGTTGTATTTTATTAGAATGTTAATTATTTATTATTTTCCTTTGTGAGGACCGAAGTTATGCTTTTTCAAGTAAAGACCAGAAGTTATCCTTGATGAAATTTTCATTGATCACTACAATAAGGATAAAAATAAGGATGGTTTATCGTTGAAAGTAACTTAATCAATCAATATTGGTATTATGAAAACTTGAATCTTTTGCGTAAAGTTTTTATTTGATAATAATTACGCTAAAATGAGTCACATAAAGTATCGAATTCTTAATCGATGATTTTATCTACCCTGATCATGTATCACGTTATAAATGAGCGTTTTGGAACTGAATTCGTATTCGGCAAAAGAAAAACTTGGCTCCATGGGAACAACTGATGAATAGTGGTTGTAACCGTTGATTATCTGGTGTTTGAGTTCAATAAAACTCAACACCCGGATAATCGGTGAATAATCAGTGAACATCATTCGGCGGATACAACCACTACTAATAAACAAAGGAGAGATTGAGATGCACGAGAAATATATATTTATAAGTTTTTTTTGTGAACTTTTATATTTTAGTGACTTAATGGCAGTGAATTTGACGTAATAGTTTTACAACTTTGGTAACATTTCGTCAAACAACATTAATTCGAACCAGGGCTGGGAAATAGTACTTTAAAAATTCTGATTTTCCTTTAATGTTAATATTGATATTAAAAAATTTTAACTTCGGAAAAAAAAGAGTTGCCGGATATTTTTCCTTTTTATTTTTCTTTTTTATTTTTATTTTTTTTGTACAGGTTTCCCATCCACATAAAAAACATTTATACTAAATAATGTATACTGTACATATATGTGTGTCATTACTTCAATATTTTAGAAAAGTACCATAATTTGTATCTTTTGAATTTTAAATTATTAAATTTAAAAATATATACACTTAAATATGAATTTATGTGCATTTGTTTTCCCTTATTCAAAAAAATAAATTATAAATAAATAGTATAGAATAAGAAGGATCAGATAATTTGACTACTGAAATTTGGGATGAAATGTTTTATAGATAAAACAAATATTGATGAATCAGATATAGAAGGTTCAGATGATGATGATACTTCAAAAAATCAAACAAAAATAGTGAATTAAGTGAAAACCATATTAAAATGTCAAATAAAAAAGTGTATTTTAAAAATCAGGAAGTTTTAAGCATGAATGGCTAAACATATATAAATGGCTAAATATGATGAAGTAAAGCACATGGGAAAAAAAAATATATTTGCAGGAAAAGGTGACAAATAAATATAATTAATTTTGCATTTTGCAATTCTTAAATTACTAATATTATAATGTTATTATTTGGGATCAAAGAGTGTTTCAAAATCTAATGCTCTAGCAACTCATGCACTTTCAAACCAACATAATGGTTCTTTGCCTCTAGAAAAGGCAAGAATAACCATGCAAGATTCTTCTAAAAAAAAGCCACTGATAATGGTAACAAACATATAATTGATACAATGAAAACGATTTACTGGATGGCAAAAGAAAATATTCTAATTTCCAAGCTTCCAAGTCTTATTTATATTTTAAAACTTATAGAAATAGTGCACTCAATTCCATTTTCTAGTGTAGATTGTAAAAGAGGTTTTAGCAAACAAAACAGATTTATGTAATGCAATGGAAAATGACATTACACTTATTAATGATGGTTGGTTTTATGATTTTAGTGATGCTCATAGTAATATTCTTCAAAGTAAAAACGGAAGTATAAAATAAAGAAAATTCATAGCATTCAAGAGGAATTTCCGTTTTTTTTTCAGACCCTATATGGAAACGCCATGCTTGACTACATTTTGTTGCAATTGTTTACAACAAAATGTAGTATACCTTTGTCCAGCATGGCGTGCCATATTCTTATTAACAATATTAATGTTCCATTAAAGATGTAGATCATCAACAATTTGGATGTTAGGATTGAAATAAACGAATTTTAGAGCAACTTTGTTATTAATAAAAGTCAAAATCTAATTCCCGCTCAGGAAAATATATTTTCTGCTCAGAAAAGGACAAAAACAGCGGAACATTTGTGTAAATTCTGAGATGGTATTATAGTCTGTGAAACGCCATTTTTATAAGTGGTACTTTTTGGATTTTACAATACTCTTCACGTATAAATTGTCAATTTTCTTTTTGTATTAGTATTAGATGCGTGTAACGCCGATCTATCCATAAAAGGATCTTAACTAATGCAAGTTTGCATTTACCAACCCCAAACTCTTTATATACGTAAATCAATCACATCATAATCAGAGAAAATTGATAAATTTTTTTTTTTAAAAAAAAAAAAAATCTAATTCTTAATTCTAATTTTAATTATTTTAATTATAATGAGCGAGGAAAATACTTTTCTTTTTACTTCAGAATCTGTCGGTGAAGGTCATCCTGGTTAGTTAAACTTATTAAAATTTATTGAATTTCATAATAACCAGTTAATATACAGTATATAAACTTACAATATATAATTGTTTAAAAATTAAGATAAAATATGCGACCAAGTATCCGATGCAATCCTAGATGCTTGCTTAAAATCTGACCCTTTTTCCAAAGTTGCTTGCGAGACAGCAACAAAAACTGGGCTTGTTTTTGTATTTGGCGAAATTAGTACTTCTGCCTCTCTTGACTATCAACGAATAATACGTGATACTATTAAACGTATAGGTTATGATGATTCTTCAAAAGGCTTCGATTATAAAACTTGTAATATTTTGGTGGCAATTGAACAACAATCACCTGATATTGCTCAAGGCCTTGTCCGACA